GGGGAAGCTTACACCCAGAAGAAGGCTCGTGACCAGGATGTTCAGGAAGTGGAAGTGGGAGGGGGGCACCTGAGCAAGCCTGACGGCCTATGTAACTTGCCAGGGCAGGCTGGCAGCCCCACCTGGGGCCCTGGGTTCAGACTCCTGCGTACTCCTGTCAGGCCGGAAAACAAATTTATATCTGGCTGCTAGGTGCTGGGCGGCTGCTCTGCATTCTGAGCGGCCATTCTGTCTCCAGTGTGGCTGGATCCGGGGGTCTCCAGGTTGTTTACAGACTGGCAGGGAAGGTGCCCTGGCTGGCCTGGCAGGCCCCAGCCTTCTGGGCTCTCCTCACTTTATCCTGGCCTGTCCCTGCAGTGGAGCCTTCCCTGGGGAATTCTGGCTTGTGACAGGAAGTGCCCCTGGGCACTGCGCACCCCAGGTGCCAGACCCTGAGTCCAGCCTCCCAGGCTTTTCGCCCTTACCCTTTGGGATGGATGCGCTCACCCCCGGAGGGGTTCAAGCTTACCCCGGGTCACACAGCCTGCCCTGGCGGGCCATGCCCATTTCCCTGCCAGCCGGACTCCCAACACTTTTCCCTGGGTTCCAGCCTGGTCCTTTCAAGCTGGACGTCCAGCCACCCACCTGCGCTCCTTCCCTGGCCTCTCCCGGGGGCAGTCACACTGCCCGCCTTCACAGCGCTCTCCCCTGGCCTCTTCTTATCTACCCCAGAGTCCCCTCCTTGACCCTCAGGGAACCATCCTGCCCACCTTGCCACCAGCTCCGTTTTCCCACTTGTCTGGCTTGAGTCAGGGACTGGTTCTGATTCGTCTCCTGGACCCCAGCGTGTAGTCGGTGTTTAGTACCAGAGCTTCTGCTGGGTGGTGATGGGTCTCCTTCCTCTGTGGCCAGCCCCCGAATGTTTGGGCCAGTGTTTGAATGGAGAGAAGGCAGGAGGCTCCCCAGTCTCCCAGCACAAGGGCAGAGCTGGGGAGGAAGGGCCTCTGGACTCCACCGCGGGGCCAGCTGTGCGTTGGTGGGGTGATTCCAGGGCAGGCTGGCAGCCCCACCTGGGGCCCTGGGTTCAGACTCCTGCGTACTCCTGTCAGGCCGGAAAACAAATTTATATCTGGCTGCTAGGTGCTGGGCGGCTGCTCTGCATTCTGAGCGGCCATTCTGTCTCCAGTGTGGCTGGATCCGGGGGTCTCCAGGTTGTTTACAGACTGGCAGGGAAGGTGCCCTGGCTGGCCTGGCAGGCCCCAGCCTTCTGGGCTCTCCTCACTTTATCCTGGCCTGTCCCTGCAGTGGAGCCTTCCCTGGGGAATTCTGGCTTGTGACAGGAAGTGCCCCTGGGCACTGCGCACCCCAGGTGCCAGACCCTGAGTCCAGCCTCCCAGGCTTTTCGCCCTTACCCTTTGGGATGGATGCGCTCACCCCCGGAGGGGTTCAAGCTTACCCCGGGTCACACAGCCTGCCCTGGCGGGCCATGCCCATTTCCCTGCCAGCCGGACTCCCAACACTTTTCCCTGGGTTCCAGCCTGGTCCTTTCAAGCTGGACGTCCAGCCACCCACCTGCGCTCCTTCCCTGGCCTCTCCCGGGGGCAGTCACACTGCCCGCCTTCACAGCGCTCTCCCCTGGCCTCTTCTTATCTACCCCAGAGTCCCCTCCTTGACCCTCAGGGAACCATCCTGCCCACCTTGCCACCAGCTCCGTTTTCCCACTTGTCTGGCTTGAGTCAGGGACTGGTTCTGATTCGTCTCCTGGACCCCAGCATGTAGTCGGTGTTTAGTACCAGAGCTTCTGCTGGGTGGTGATGGGTCTCCTTCCTCTGTGGCCAGCCCCCGAATGTTTGGGCCAGTGTTTGAATGGAGAGAAGGCAGGAGGCTCCCCAGTCTCCCAGCACAAGGGCAGAGCTGGGGAGGAAGGGCCTCTGGACTCCACCGCGGGGCCAGCTGTGCGTTGGTGGGGTGATCCGAGGCCGGGCCTGGCCTTGCTTTGCCTCTTCCAAGGGGTCCCTGCCAGTGGCAGCCCGGTCAGAACCTTCCCCCAGGGTATGAAACAGACTGGCCCTTAGGTGCTTCCCCCCACTTAGAGGCTTCCTCAAGAAGCCCTGGCCCACGGGGTCAGCTCCCCTTTAGGAGAGGAGACGCTGTCTCGGGCACCGTGCGGTCAGGTCAGGCCCATGCTTACTGGGGACTTCTGGAGGCTGACTCGGGGCTAGGGCGCCCCTCAGCCTGTGGGCGAGACCTGGGCGTCCCCTCTCGACAGGAGCAAACGAGGCCCAAGACGGGAAAGTGGAGAGGGGCGGGGCTGGGGGAGGTGGGCGTCGGAGCCACGAGGCGCGGGGCCCATCTGCGCTCCAGCCCGTCCCTGCGCCGGAGGGGCGCCCACCCAGCCTGCCTCCTGCTCCTGAGTGGCGAGGCCGGCGGGCTTCTGCGTCCCCTCCCGCGCGCCCCGCCCGTCCGGGCCCGCCGCGCATATAAGGCGGCGCCGCCGCAGCCCCGATCGCCGCCGCCCGCCGCCGCCCGCGCTCATGGCCAGGACCACGAAGCTGGTGGGCGCCTTCCTGGCGCTGTGCCTGCTGCTGGCGCCGCCTGGCCTCGCGTGGTACAAGCAGGTGGCGGGGCCCAACTACTACTCGGTGGGCCGCGCCTCGGGGCTGCTGTCCGGCTTCCGCAGGTCCCCTTACGCGCCGCGCTCCGAGCCCTCCGTGGGCACTGGACACCCGGGCCGGGCGGGCGCCCCTCCGGAGTCGCGGCCCAGCCTGCGGAGCCTCGTGAGTGCCGGCGGCGGGGGTGCGGGACAGGGGTCGCGGGGCGGGAGCGCGGGGCGCAGGGGACCCAGGGAGCGGGCCGTGCCCTCAGCGTCCCCCTGTCCCCAGGCCGTGTGCGTCAAGGAGGTCTCCCCGAACCTGCAGAGCTGTGAGCAACTCCCCGACGGCCGCGCCACCTTCCAGTGCAAAGCGGACGTCTTCTTGTCGCTGCGCGCCGCCGACTGCCGCAGTGTCTGAGCCCCGGCCCTGAAGCCTGGACGTCCGTCACTTGGCTCCCGCACGTATTCCCGCCGCCCGCCGGGTACCCTAAGGTCCCCACCCTGGTGCGACATGGCTCCAAGTGCCGCCCACCCCATCTCCACAATAAATGGCTAATTGTATAAATGAGAAGTGCAGTGGGCCTCCGACGTGTTGTGGGTCCTGCGGGCGGGGTTCACTGGAGTGGCAGGGACCTGACCACACCCCCTGACCTCCACCGGGCTCTCCTGAAATGCTGCCCCGGAGCAGCCCCCAAGCCCTCCCGCTTGGAAAGATGCAGTCCGCGGGGCCGCATGTCTGGCCTGGAAACCAGATTCTAGACGCCCCCTAGGGGCTGTGCCCGTCGGACCTCTCCAGGCCCTGACCGTCTCCCATCGCCCTGCCTTTCTCCACGCAGCTCTTGGATCTTCTTGGGAGGTGCTGCCAGTCCCCCACTAACCACCAGGTGTACTCAGCCTGCTCAGATGTCCCCTAATACAGCTTTCCCTGAGGACCCCACCCCAGGTGGCCCTGCTGCCTCTGAGAATTCTCCTGTGGCCCTGCCTTGAATCCTGGGTTTCTTGAAACCGAAGGTCTCCTTTAGAGCAAATGATTTGCATCACTGAGCACAGGGCAATGAATCTGTGCCAAACCAGCTACTGAACAGGCTGGGCCAGGCAGGGTTGGGGTTCCAGATATGCAGCTCCGGGCGGGGAAGGGCTGCATCCAGGTGGCTGGGCTGCCCAGAGGCCCTCCGACCCCTGACAAGGCTGGGCAGAGCCCTGGCTCAGCATCCCTGTCAGGCAGCTGGCCTGAGAGCTCTGGTCACAAGGGAGCAGGTGTACCCCACGGCCTTGGCTGCTGCCCCACTTCGAGGAGGGAGCACCTGTGCCTGCCTTGGGTGGTATCCCCAACCCTGTAGAACACCTGGCCAGCTGGGCATCAGGGGGCTGGACCACCAACCCTCTGCTCAGAAAGGCTGTAGATGGGGCCCATAATCCCACTGCACCTGAGTGGACATGTCTCCTGGGGTGCCACCTAGGCCCCAGGCTCCGCATCTCCAACTGCAGCCCCGGCAGGGGTCCTCGGCTGCTGCTGTAGGCAGTCTCCAGCCCCACCTGTTGATGCTGCCCAGTGGGGCCTCTGGCCGGCCTGGGGCTGACTCCAAGGTCAAGAGGAGTGACCTGGGTGCTCCAAGTCTACAGGGGCTGGTTGGCTGTTTAGGGAACCCTGCAACCCAGAGGGTCTGAGTGTGGGGAGGGCTGGCAGTCCACTAAGTTCCACAAGTTGGGCCCAGGCGGGGCAGGGGTGCAGAGGGGGCCCTGTGGCTCTCAGAGCTGCCTGCCTTCCTGCTTGGGGAGGGAGGAAAGCACACGCTGGCTGGAACTTTCACGGTTGTCTCGCTTCAGGTTTCTGCACAGCATTCTAAGTTAGACCTCAAGAATAGCTAAGTCAGAGGAAGGGAGAGATCAGGGCCCCTCCTAGAGGGAGAGGATGCCAGCCCTTGGCTCCCAGAGGGCCAGGCTACAGGTGCTGAGACCCCACTGGGCTCAGTAGCTGGAGGGCAGAGGCCATTCTGGAAGAGATGGGAAAGGGCTGAAGCGACATCACAATCCTCACGTCTACCACCAAAAACCTAATCAAACCATTATCCCTGCCCTGCCCCCTTGAGGTGACAGGGCCAGCACCCTGCAGCCACGGGGCTGCTCCAAGTGGGCCCAGACTTCGGTGCAGGAGACCATGAGACTCTGTGGACCCAGTTGGGAAACCAGCCCCAATTCCTTCCTGGGTGGATGGCCCTGTGTGCAGCCATGGGGTGTCAGCCTCTGTCTTCCTTGTGACAGATCCCAGGGCCAAGAGCCACACTCGGCTCTCATTGTCAGCTGTTCTGGAGGAAGAATCCCATGGCACCAAGGAGCCCAGACCTGGGGGATTCCTTGCTGCCAGGACGCCTGCTGCCCCCCTCTGCTGGGTGGGTCCTGGCCTCGCCTAGCAGGATGGAGAGCCTGATGGAGTGCCTCAACCAGGTTTATTTGTACACAAGCCAGTCAGGTACAAAGTCAGAAAAGGTCTGTGGGGACAGCAGCAGGCTGGCCAGGGAAGCGGGAGGTGCGGGGCCCAGGAGCCAGGCCTGCTGGTTATGCTTCAGGGCAGAGGCTGCCCACACAGGTAACATGGTCTGCACTCTGAAGAGGAAGGGGACGGCCCACAGGCTCACTGCTCCCCTGCAGCTGGCTACTACTGCAGCCGAGTGTGCAGGAAGTGCCATTTGGAGCCAGGTGGCAGGGGGGCCAGGGGGCAGCAGTGGAGTCAGGAGGATGGAAGCTGAGCCTTCCCTGGCACACAGGGTGGCACCCCTCTGGTCAAACATGCCCTCGGCTCATCCCATCTGCTGTGCTGCTCGACCATGCTGGCTGCCCTCTCTGTGCAGCTTGGCAGGAAGGGTGCCTTGCAGGCGGGGTGGGAGGCAGTGTCCTCTACACCAGCCCTTCTGAGGCCAAGCCGGCTGGAGAGGCAGCACTGCAGGCTTTGTTAAAAAACATGAGCCAACCTCCCGAGGTGCAGGTGTGGAGCAGGGACAGGGCTGGCTTCAGAGCCCAGGTGGCCGTCGGTGCTCTGGTCAGAAGTCACAACCACCCTCTCTTTCGGGACACACCTCTTGCTGCCTCATGGCCTCCAGGAAGGCCAGCTCCTTGGCCTCTTTCTTCTGGTTCCGGGCCTCGTACTCCAGCCTGGGGGCCAGGCTGGGTGAGCTGTGAACCCAGGACAAGGGCTTCTGTGGCTCTGGCGTCCCCACAGGCCCGGGGGAATCTCACCTGTTTTTGATGATGCGCTGGACGATGAGGTCCGTGGTGAGGTCGCTCCCGCTGTCCACCTGACAGAAGATGCCCCTTCTCCTGGGCTCCTTGAGGCCAGAAGGAGGGAGGAATAGACGGCCTTCATCTGGATCCCAAGGAGACCACTCAGCTGCCAGGGCCCACAGGGTTCCCACCCAAGGGAGACTGGCACCCAGCCGTGGCAGGGGTAGCAGTGCCCACGCATCAGTGACCTGGCCCCTAGGACAGAGGCCAGCAATGGGGAGTCATTGTCATGCCCACCTACCAGACAGCGTCGAGAGGCTTGGGCCCAGCATCACCCACCTGGTAAGGGTCAGAACCGTCCTTGTCAGGCACAATTTCTGTCTTCCCGTGACACACCAGGTCCACCTGGGGAGGGAGTACGAGCCAGGAAGCCTTCGAACTGCACGGCCCCTGCCTCGCAGGGGGGCAGCTGCAGCCGTCGCTCACGGCCAGCAGAGGTGTGGGGCCCTCCGAGACCCGGCCACTAGGAGCCTCACCTTGAAGTGGTCCAAGAGCTCTGCTGTGACCGCATATGGGGCCCCTATCACCACTTCTGACACATACTGTGGGGACAGGGACACAACTGGTTAGGGGGCCCCAATGCTGGCCAGGGCCTGGAGACAGCAGGGGATGAGGAGGCGGCAAGGCGTGGCCAGCCAGCTGCAGCCCTGGGATCCCAAGGGCTCCTGGGATTCGAGGAGGAACCGCGTCAGGGGCCTGACTGCCCCTCTTCCCACCCCAGCCCCCCTACCTCCCGCTGCTGCCCTGGTGCTCACCCGACAGGCCAGCACACTCAGTGTCCGCTCATGCAGGTTCATGATGGGGTAGTTCTTCCCCTTGTAGTGGTTGACCTCCTATGACAGACGGAGGTCAGGTCAGGTAACCTCAGGTAGACAGGGCCTGTGCTCTTTCCAGGGGGACGGCCCTGGCCAGCTGGCAGGGAAGAGGCCCCAGCCTGTCTCCCCTGCCTCCATCAGTTCAGTGCCCAGGGCTTTGCTCCCACCACAGGCTGCCTGTACCCAAGCCTGACCCCAGGAACCCAAGGAACCCCTACACCCCACCAGCTGCCAGGGAATGAGACCTGGTCAAAGTGCAAGCCGGCAATGACATAAGGCCTCTCTGCCAGGCCATGCACCTTCTCCAGGAAATCCACATGCCCAATGTCTGCACCCAGGTTAAGAAGCAAGTAACCGGAGGGAAGAAGCTGCCCACAGGACTGGGACCCGCAGCAGGTTCCTGCCTCCTGCCACCCATACTGCTCCCCGTGGATGGCTGTGCCCCTGCAGCTTACCCCAGTGCAGGGCCCTTGAGGGTCAGCGGGAGCCTCCAGGTGCTGCCAACCGCTAGTGCAATAAGGACACGCAGGGGGAAAGACCTGGGGCAGGGACAACCCATCTCCCACTCCCAGAGGATACGGAACAGGTCGAAGGCGCCAGCCACGTAGATGACCGTCTCCTCTGGCTGGGGCTCCTTCCCGGAAGCAAACTGAATGATCTTCTGGGATGTCTGCAGAAACTGGGACACCCCCGTCCAGGGGTCCCACCCCCCTGGACACTGCAAGCAGAAGGGTCTGGTCAGCAACAGGCCTCCCAGGCATGTTTCTCACCTGCTGCTCCAGGGCCTCCTCTTCTGAGCCTGGGGCTGCCTGTGCACACCGTCAGGAGACACAGGTGTGGGATGGAGAGAACAGGTGCAGGGGCCACAGGACAGGACTCCAAACCCCCAGCCCCAGCCAGCTGGCTCCATGCCCTGCCTCCATCACTGCTGTTTTCAGGCATGGCTGGGCAGGACCCCTGTGGCTGGTGTTAACTGTGGCTCCAACCTGTGGCCACAGTGGGCACTGCAGCCAACACTACATGGACCCAGCAACTGGTCTGCCAGACAAGCCAGTGCATGCAGCTCTCCTGGTGACAAGGTACCCTGAGGCCACCATCTGGTCACCTGGGAGGAGCCTTCTGAGGAAAGTGTCTCAAAGGAGAGAAGCCCAGACTGCCTGGTTAGACGACCTGTCTGCGGGCAGTCCTTGCTCCTCCTCCAGGCAGTGGCCGCTGTGGCCTGTGACTGGCCAGCTGGCCACCCTGGCGGTCAGGATCTGGTGCCCGAAAGGGAGGGAGCAGGGTGCAGGGTGAGTTTCTGGGCCAGCCTCTCCCCAGGGGCAACCTTGGGGGTGGGTATGGCCTGGCCAGCATGGTGACACTCACCTTGCCAAAGCTGTCTGCATACTCCCGGTACTCGGAGGACATCTGCACGGAAGGGTGGGGGGTTGAGGGGCCTTGCTCCCCAGACATGGTCAGCCCCAGAACTCTGAAGCTTCCTGTCCTGCTGCCCACCAAGGGGTCGGGCATGAGGGGCTCCCTCCCTCCCAGCAGGGTCCTCAGCCCTGGGACCTCAGAGATTCCAGCCCTGCCTCCCCAAGACTCACGTGGCTGCTGTGATGTGCCTTGGTCACCAGCAGCATGCGGCCGACGAGGTCCGTGGTGGACACGCCCTGGGTGCGCCTGCACTCCCTGGAGACACAAGTGGGGTCGGGGCTCTCTTCTTGGAACTCTCGCAAGGCTCCGCCTCCAGCTCATCCCACCCAAGGGCAACCCAGCTGTGGCCACACCGCCGTGGCCCAGCAGCAGGCCGTGCTGTGCTGAGCAGGTGTCTCCTCCTGTCAGCCACCGGAGAACGCCAGGTCGGGGGTGGGGAGGGGTGGGGACGGCCACTGTGCTTTTGTCAGCTAAAGAAATGACGGGAGGCGGGGAACAGCTCCAGACTCCAAGCCTGTGGTGCTGGGGGGCACCCAGACAGGCTGGCAGCCCCGGTCCCTGTGTGCCCCCGTCTGAGCTCAGGTCCTGCCCCCCTGAACAATCTCTGCCAAGGGAGCCCCTGGCCATGCTGGCTTTTTAAGTGAATTAAGAACAACCAGCTCCCGATGTCGTACCCTCACATCTCTATTGCTCGACAGCTGCCCCTGGCTGTGACCACTGTCCTAGATGGTGCATTCAGACGCCTCACACAGCCCGAGGTGCAGCACCCCTCCACTCCAGTCCCAGCCAGGAGACTAAAGCAGCAAGAGTGCAGGAGGAGGGAGGCCCATGCAAGGGCTTACCTGTACCTCCCGGCCTGCTTCACCTCCTCATAGGTGTCCCGGCCATCCACGGTCAGCGTGATGTCATCTACGGGGGGAACACGTACATAAGAATGCTCCTTAACCCAGAGCCCTGCGGACCTTCAGGGCCCGCGACCCCCACCCCAGCCTGCTCTCCTACGTGTGGGGGCTCATTTCAGGGGGAGGACCCAGAGCTCTCTCCGACTCTCCAAGGGCTCAGCGCTCCCCAAAGGTGAGGGGGCCGCAGCACCCCTGGGTGCTCCTCTGCTGGTCTGGTCCTGGGCCTGCCCCACATCCCCAGGCCTCGGAGGGTCCGGGCTGAGCACTCACTGCCGTGGACACAGAAGTCGCAGCTGTGCTTGTCCAGGGTCTCCAGCGTGGTGACGTAAGGAGCTGCTGGCACCACCTCATCCACCCACTTGATGGCGTGCACCATCTTGTACCTCTCCTCCTGAGTGAACACCGGTGGCCCCTTGTGTTTGGAGATCTCCTCTAGGGCCAGAGCAGAGGGCAAGGGGCAAGGCCTAGATGGGTGACCCTTGGAGGGCTGGGCCACAGGCTTGCCAGTCCCTCCCAGCACCAAGCAGGGTCTGTAAGCATGCAGAGGCTTGTGGTGGGCAGCCGTCTCTGGCACTGGGCCCTCAGCCTGCAAGGATGGGAACTACACCCGAGTGGCTCCCACTCTGTCTACCACAGGCTGTCAGAGGCCCTGTGGACATGTTGGCCAGGTCACTGCAAGGCCCCCCACTCAACCAGAGTTCCAGGTACTCAGGCTGTGCTTGACAATGGAGTCCCCAGTCCTCCAAGGCCTTAGGAACCAGGTGTGTGTGTGGAGGCATGGCCAGGGCCTCCATCCATTGGCTGCACTGCTCATGCACTCCACTGACCCCTCTTGCTTTAGCTCAGCACAGGAGGTGTAAAGTGGGAAAGCCCTGATGGACTGGGCCTGGGTCCAGGTTGGGGCAAGCTTACTAAGCCATACTGTTAAGATGGATGGCCTTGGGCCCAGCCTAACCCCTTGCGGGGCCCTGGTCAATAGGGACAGCCCCCTGGGAGGCCCTGAGGGTGGAGGGTGGGCATGGCAGCCCCAGCTTACCGTCGGTGTGCACACCCACGATGAGGTAGTCGCCCATGGCCCGTGCCTGGCGCAGCTGGTTCGAATGGCCATAATGCACCATGTCATAGCTGTGGGAAGGGCAGAGTACTAAGGATGGAGGGGACTGAGAGGCCGGTGGAGGACTGCTCCTCTCTGGCGTCAAGGAAATTCTCTGAGAAGCTGCCACTGGGACGGCTCCCAGGGTCTAGCTGGGCCTGGACTGCCGGTGAGGAGGTAGGCACTCAGCTCTCCACACCACTGGCCTCCGGGTCCAGGGCCAGATCGAGGAAGCATGGCAGGTGCCTAGCTGTGCCCAGGGGCAACGCCTGTCCATCCTGAGGGCCGGAGGGCGCACAGAAGGCCCCTGTTCCCACTTGGGACAGTGCTTTGCCCTCAGCCAATGCAAACCAGCCCAGAGAGGCCCTTTAAGCTGTAAACTGATGCTGATTCGGGGGTGGGCTGGACTCTGTACTACCCTGAGACAGGTGGGGACTGTCCCTAGGGCCAACTCAGAACAAAGTCCAGTCAATAAACATGGGCAGCCGCCGACTTTGTGAGTCCTCCCTGCTCCTCTGTGGCCTCCAGAAATGCAGCAACCGTCTCCCTGTTGCCTGGTTCTACAGGTTTTATTCTCAAATCCAGGCCTAGTTAAGCGTGAACTCTCAACTAGAGGCCACAGACAGTGCCTACTGCATGGCTTCGGTTCCCCCGGGCACCTGTATGTGCTGGGAGGGCACACATGTCCTCTGCGGGCCCCAGCTGGGCTCTCGCTCCTGCCCTGCTCCTTCCAGCCTCACATGCGACTCTGAGTAAGTGAAACTGTTCTCTTTTCCAGGTGACCCAGGCCACCCGCGGACAGAGCTGTTCCTCCCAATGCCACCTGCTATCCCCACCACAGCGAGCCAGGCCCCAGCAGACAAGCTTGCGGGTCACAGGGATCTGGGCCCAGGGTGATGGAAGAGGGAAACCCAAACCCCAGAGCCTGGCCGGCTCCTGCGCACACAGGATGGGCTGGGTGGGGGCGGGGGGTCTGCACAGCACAGTGCAGGTGGTGCTGGGTCCAGGCTGCGACCTAGTCACTGCCTCGTGGCCTGCTGGGGCAGGGGCCTGGCCAGGCCAGGGCCAAGGTCAGAGTCCGGGAACAGGAAGCTGCACTCCCTCTCCCCAAGGTGACTCAGGGACTGGGACTGGGCAGCCCACAGCCCTGCAGCTCCCCTAGGAGGCCCCGGGCTAGGCAAATACGAATTTCTGCTTCCATCACGTAAAAGCACGAGGATGCAACAGAGACAGCAAGCCATCTCCCGGGCGAGACCGGTCTTCCTCTCATCTGCTGATGTCCCAGACTGTTCTTGGGAAGACCCCAGCTACCCGACTTGTCGTAAGAGGGCAGACGAACACGGAGCCCTCCCGGGGTGGATGGACCCTGAGTCGGGGGGGCTTTCCTGGGGTCCTGGACAGTTTGGCAATTTCTGCCCGGAGGCCGGAGGCCCTCTCGGGTCCGTGCTGGGCAGGCTGGGCGCGGCGAGAGAGCCCGGGGAAGGCGTTCTGGGTCACGGCTCCTCAGACGCAGGGCTGCCCACGGCAGCGACTGGACTGCGCTCGGCAGCACCAGACACACGCGACTTTCCGCCGCTGCTCCGGGCAGAGCGGGCGAGGGAGTCGCCCCGTTAGGCGCCCGGGAGCCGCGGGACCGAGATCCGTCCGCAGCCCTGCCCGCGCCCGGCGACCCTCACGCTCCCCGCCGAACCGAGGCCGCTCCCCCGCCGCGCCCGCCAGCCCCGGCCCGCCGCGCTCACCAGCCGTCACACCACACCCGTACGGCGCGCTTGTCCCCCGGGCCTTGCCCTTCGGCGCCGCCCGCCGCCCCGTGCCCGTTCCGGATCATGGCCCCGCATCCACGGCGCGGTCCCGCCGACCCTACAACTCAGCGCGGCAGCCCCTTCCCAGCGCACGCGCCGTCACGCGCGCCTCACTTGGCCAATAGCGAGCGCCGCCCCGCCCCCGCGCCGCCAAGAGTGCGCGCGACCGGCCTCTCCAGAACCGGGCCCCGCCCCTCCGAGCCGGGCCAAGGCCGTGCGCCGCCAGGGCCAAGCCCCGCCCCCATGGCGCGCACCTCCGCCGGGCCTCTGCCCGCACTGGACGGAGGGGCGGGGAGAACCACGTGGGGCGCACTCCGCCCTCTTCACGAGCACCCCGGGCACAGCGCCCGCCCCCACGCCGAAGGGGCGCTCGCCGGGTGACACGGAAAAAACAGTGCAGAGATATTTAATAACAACAAACGGTACGCTGAGAGCCAAGGCTCAAAACCACCCCTTTGCCGCAAAACCAATACAGAAAAAGGTTCCTATAAAGTTAACATTTTTAGTAAGTAGTAGAAATAGGGTTAAGACCCCTGAGAACTAGCCTGGTGAACGAGGTAAGGCAGCCGTGCGCTTCCTCGTGGCCGGCCAGGTGTGAAATAACCCGAGTTCTGTTCTCGCAGAGGCATGTCTGCGGAAAGGCTGGACGATCGGCTCCATGGTCAGGCCCACGCCGGGGCAACCACAGCAGTGCAAGGGGACTTCCCACAGGGGCAAATGGCTAAACGGGTCATGGTGAAAATGGGCAGCCCTGGCCTTCCAGGAGTCCCTCGCCCCTGAATTGAGCCAGCTGCAAAGTGCCAACTGTTGTTCTAGGTCACCAACCAGGTTACGTCACTTTCTTCCTTTTCACGCGTTTGGTGCAGCCCCTGCCGAACCAGCCACCGAGGACGGGGGATGAGCTAAGCGGTGCGCCCCCAATCCCAGGCGGTGGCTCCTCTGGGCTTCTGCACAGTGACTTTCGGCTGTGGCTGCCTTCTTCGCCTGCACGCAGGGGAACTGCCAGGGAGAAGATGGGGTCGTGCCACCTACCGAAAAGGGAGAGCCTGGTCAGGGTGCCTGGGAGCCTCTCAGTCACAACCTGCCCCAGGGTGGTGATGCTGACTGAAGAGGTCACCCTGTTTCCCTCCCGTGTCTTAACTGTGGCTGCGCTTTGCTTAGTGGTAGCCCCACTGTTCCAGTTACAAAAGAGCTGCAAGAAGGGTACGCTGAGTAAATCAAAGGTCAGCACCCACACACCTCCACAGGACTCTGTCCTTGTCTGCACACATGGGGTGGGGCAGCAGCAGCCCAAGGAGGGCTGAGTCACTAGCAGCTCTGGGCCCCACCTTTCACTTGCATGGCCAGGGGCAGGTGAACCAGACCCTCTCCCCCTTCCCAGACCACAGACTCAATGGGAGGGAAGGCTAGCTGACTAGGGAGGTGACTACACCATAAAGAGATCATGTGTCTGACTGAGATGTAAAGCCACATACTATAAACTTAAGATACAGATAAGCACTGATAAAGAAAATGAGCTATGTAAAAATAAATAAATAAATAAGGTACAGTACACGATAGGCCCACATTACAGAACACCACAAACATAACATACAAGAATTGCCAGGCCCCGAAGGTGAAGGGATCCTTAATTCTTGAACCCTTTGATTAAAAGAAGTTATTGATTTCCCCTATAAGACCCTGAAAATTCACAGAGAGAGAAAGTGTAAACTTTTTACTCAATACATACACCGTGTCTAAATTATTACAAATTCTGTATTAAGGCAGTTTGTTTAAGTTTTCCCAAAGTATGCCAGCTCCCCAAACCAAATGCACCAAGATTCTGTGCAGGCAGAGTTGCCACGAGCACATCTCTTCAGGGCCCCTTGCCATCCATTCTGTGTGAGGCAAAGGGGAATGTCCAGGCACACACTGGCAGGGTCTCGCCTCACTGGGAGTCAGTCAGTCAGGATACCTCAGCCTATCCCTGCAAAGACCACCACTCTGCAATCACGCCTCAGACACCGTCCGCTACCCTTCAGAGAACTGTCTCTACACTCAGCTCACGAGAGCAGACAGACACAGCCCATCCACACAGGGGCAAGGAAGAGGGGGTGTGCCCTCGCCCCCTTACCTGCTGTAGGGGGGGATCTCCAGGCCCAGCTCATCCATAAGGAGCTGCATGACATCATCACACTTCCCATGGAGCTTCAGGGCAGCCCAGTCATCCTTTGGGGTCCACTGGGGACAAAGGAAGGCCAGTGAGGACAGCACCTCACTGTTTCCCAATGGTCTGCTGGCCCCAGCCCCTGCCCGGCTAGACTTCTACGGCCTATGAGTGTGGGACGTGAACATCCCCGGGACTCTCTGGCTCTGCTGTTCTAAGGTTCAGGTCTATGGGAGGAAGCTCTGCATGCCTGAGTTACCTGCAAATTCACAATGTAGAGCTTGGGCCGCCTGCTGGGGGGCTTGGTCATACACCAGAGGTGTGGATACTTCTTTAGAACCTGTGGGAAGGGACAGACGGGCAGAAAGACCACACACACACACCAGGGAATGAGGCTACAAGAAGCTGGGTCCAGAGGAGTTGGCCAGCTGCTGGCAGGCTCACTCCCATATCCGTCAATGGTGCTGTCCACATACCTTTAAGCTGGAGCCCAAACACAGGATCGTGTCTGCTTTGCTGGCAGCTTGGGTGGCCGCCTCCCAGTTTAGAGGTTGCCCCAGTGTTCCTCTCTCCCCAAAGTGCACAATGGTGTCCCGGAGCTGAGCCCCACACTTGTGGCAGGCCCGGCCTGTCTGGTGTCGGTGCAGGGCGGTGCGCTCTGTCACGTCGAACACCCGCACATACTCCCTGTTAGGATTGCAGGCTGTGCAGACCTGAGGGGGAGAGGGCACCGTGAGTGGGAGCTGCCGGCCCGCCCAGGCTCCGGAGGCCCAGGGGGACCGCTCACTTCAATGTACATGTTCCCGTGGAGCTCCGAGATGGCCGTTCGAGGCAGCCCGCTCCGCAGGTGGAGCCCATCGCAGTTCTGAGAAACCACGTGCCGCACCTGGAGGGGAACCACAGGCACAGTCAGCAGGAGGCTGTGGGGAAGTAGTGCTCAGCGGCGGGGCTGCCCAAGCCCAGGACAGCCCCAAAGCAGGGGCGACTCTGACCCTACATGAATTCTTGAAGGCAGACCCAGAGCAAAAGGCTGGCCCCTGCAGGGCTCAGGAGGGTCCTTTGTCTGCCCCCAAGAATGGGTGACTGGGTAGGCAAGCAGTTGCTTTGCCCCTCTCAGCTGGGAAAGGGCCCGGAGCCCAGACTGATGCTCTCCTGGGCTATGTTTCAGGTCCTTGAATGCCGAGGAGGATCAATCCCCTCCCCAGTTGGTAGGAAGTACTCAGCAGAGGGTCTCTAGAGGTTTCACACAAGCCTCCCCTGTACTTAGGCAGCTTCTGAGGTCTGTGGGAACAACTCAAGAGCAGCATGAGGGGAAGGGGCTGCCAAATGCTGGGGGTCCAAGGCTGGCCCTATACATCCTGGGGCAGAGGCTGCCCTCTTCTCTTGGAGACAAAGCATGGGGGGGTTAGAGAGGGGCTTAAACCAGGCGTCTAAACTGCTTGGTGGGCACGCCTCATGGGGGACCGCCGGCTGACACGTAGCTGCACTTGGGCCTCAAGGTGGCACTCGGACCCCATACCACAGCTCTTACCAGTTTTTGCTCATGTAAGCGGGCAATGCTCATGTGGGTGAGGGTCGGCTCGGCGTCACTCAGGTCAGAGGCACTGCCGGGGAGGGAAGCAAAGGGGAGGGGAGCTGTGAGGTCAGAGCCACACCACCCTGGCCGACCACATGGGAGGGAAGGTGGCTTACCTGATGCTCCTCCCTTTCTGAAGCAGCGTCCACACTCCATTAGGGCCCCGGTAATCTGGGATAGAGGCTGCCTGCGTGAAAGATAAGCCCTGTGGGAGATCTCGCTGTAGGCACAGGAAGAACATCCAAGTACGGGAAGCACACTTCTCCCAGCACACTCCAGGGTGGCGTGGGCCGGCCTCTCTTCCACAGGCTCAGCACTTCCCAGTCTACTGTGCCAGAACCCAGATGGAGTGCCCTCGCATACCCAGTCAAGCTCCTCCCTCCAGGCTCCCAGGAGCTCTGCCTCCTGTGGGAGCCTCTCTAGCAGGGAGCACAGCCTGGGCTTCGCGGCCAGGCCTGTCCTCCATGATGAGCAGAGGACTGGTCAGGTTCATCTGTGGGCCCAGGGCCTAGCCAGTGCTCAACAAAGGCCTAGCCAAGTGGTGACCCCTAACAGGTAGCACTTCTCTGTCCACATTCTGCATCCTCGTGCTGTAAGTGGCTCCTGCCCTGCCTTCACAAAGGCTGGCCAACCTCTCCATGAGAGGATAAACTATATAGGGTAAAATGAGATAAAGACGATTGCATTTCCCAAGCTCCCAATACAGCGCAAGACTCACCCCGAGACAAGACAGAACACGTGCCACGATCGAGGTGTCTTGTGCTCCCCAGACTGTGAGTGACCCCCTTTCTGGGAGTCCTGTCTCCTCCCTGATGCTTATGCTCAGAAAACACCTACCCTGACATTTCACAACTAAAAAGGGACTCACATCAAAAAAGGGAATCTCAAGCAGTAATGGTCAGAGCAAATTAACGAACACCATGCAGCTTTTAGGAGCCACCTGCAGCTCCTAAGAGGTGGTATTACTACTTCTAAATAATCACATGCCAGGAGCACACGTGTGACCACAGAGCAAGCGAACAGGACTGCCAGGGCTCCCGGGGTAGGTCAGAGCAGTCAGTGCTGTAGACAGTCCTGCCACCGGGCCTCCGAGTCCATCTCTGTGAGGAGTGTCTTTTAACCTCTGCCTGTAAAATCTTACGCACCCTTCAAAACCAGAACTCAATGCTACGTCCCACAGAACACCAACCGGATTGGGTTTCCCGAGCCTCACACCGCAGAGGGTGTATCTGGGTTTCTATTCTATCGACCAAGCACAGTCGACACACACCCATCACCTACAGCAACAGCGTACCACGTGCCCTTGGGAAGCGAGGCATATTCCACCACCCGACACAGCGTCTCGACAGAACTTCTCAAAACCCAATGCATTTCTCCTTTCCATTCGGTGCACTCTAGTTCTTACTGCCTTGCTTTCTACTCACCTTCAAGATTCAAAAAGCACGAATGGGCAATAACGGGCTTAGTTCTGCCCACGTAGTCCTGGGACAGTGAACTAGCCTCCTGGATGTCAAACGAAGAGGTGCCTGCAGCACTAAGCTATTATGTACCGTTTTTATCCCTCTTCCTTTCTGGTCTCTGGGTATAACACAGAAGTCAAGCATTTCAAAATGCTTACCTACGTGGAGAAGTTTCAAATCGAGTCATTTCGAGTTTCTCTGAGAAAGGAAAGAACCTCTGGGCTGCTCCTTCCGAGAGTCTTTGTGCATCAGTCCTGTTTCTCAGGAGCACCGCGCTCCATCCTGGGGTCAGTGTCCCAGAAGGGGGCGAGTCCCCCCTCCCTGCGTCCCAGCGGGCCGGGCGTCTCCGGGACCCGCGAAACGCGCTGGCGGCGCGGCCGTCCACGCCCCGCCTCCCTACCGTGCTGATCCCCGCGCCTGTGTAGACGACCAGGTGCTTGGCGTTCCGGACGGCGCCGGCCAACTCCCGGACCTTCCTCCGCAGCTCCTCCGGGGCGTCGCACACCTGTCGGGACGCCAGCCGCCCTAAGCCCCGCCGCACCCCCCCGAGGCGGACGGGGCCCGGGGGCGCGCCGCGGCACTCGCCTCCTCCTGCCGCCGCTTCAGGCCCTCGCGCCGCCTGCTCCGGCCCTGCAGTTCGGTCACTAGGTCCTCGCTCTCGGCCAGCAGCCGGCCCTCCTCGGCGCTGCGCTCTGCCGCCGCTTTCCTCAGGATGCGCGACACCTGCGGGCGCAGGGCGGGCGGTGAGGGCGGCGCGGGCCAGGGACGCGGCGCGGGCCGGGCGGCGGCGTACCTGGCGGAGGCGCTCCCGCTGCTGCTCCTCCCGCAGCCTCCGGACCCGCTCCGCCGCCTTGCGCTCGGAGCGGCTCGGACCCCCGGCTGCCATGGCTCCCGGGAGACCCGTGCTTCCGCTTCCGCGTCCCCGCACGCCACACGCCGGCGCATGCGCGCGAGGCTTCGCCCCCGCCCTTCCGGCCCCGCCCAAGGAAGCACCTGCTAGTCTCTTTAAAAGGTGTTTATTGATCATATACAAAATAAAGAAAACCTTATATATCACAAACATACACTATGTACAGCAATAAATACCCGGGGCTGGGCCCAGTGCCGCCCCTCCTGGACAATAATTTAGCAATAAATACTGCACAGGGCAGGGTGGGTGCCCAGGCTGCCACCCGGGAGGCCCCTCCTCACCAGGATCTTCACAGCACCCACTTACCCCGCAGATCCCAGGGTCTCCCCCACCTCCCCCTGGCCTCAGCCCTAGGCAGGGCAGGCAGGGTTTGATGAGCTCTGCTTGGATCCGCCCTCTCGGCACCAGGAGAGCAGCCGAGCTGGACACACTGGGCAGCCCTTGTCCTGTTGCCCTACGATGCCAGGAGAAGGTTTCCTGTACCCACTCCCATTTGGTTAAAGGCTTCAGGGACTAGTAAGGAGGGGATGAAGAGAAGGGAGGGGTGAGGGTATCAGGTTGCTGGCAGGGTTGCCCCCAGCTCTTCGAGGGCATGCTCTCCAACACTGCAGCTCAGACTTGCAGGACACCCACCTACCAAAGTGCTGCTCTCGGGTGGGGTGGGAATGTGTGTGCCTGGTCTAACAGGCCTGGCACACAGGCCAGAAGAGGACAGGCCATCAGCCTGGAGGGCACCCCCATGTCTGTGTCCTCTGCTCTCCCGACCTGCTCCAAAACCAGACAGCCAACAGGAAGGTGGAAATATGCCAAAAAGAATTATTCAGTGGCTTCTGGGGGAAAAAAAATCGTTAATGTGTTGATTCCTTTCACCAAACCACAGCCTAAAAAAGTAACTTACAGGATCCCAGAGCGGAAATGGTGCTGCAGGCTGTGGCTTGGGCTTCCCAGCTGTGGATGGGAGCTTTGGCCAACCAGGCACCCCAGAGAGTGAGGCAGCAGGGATAGGATGGGAATGGACCACCTGTCCCCAAGCAAAATATAGCCCATTAGGGCTGTGGGCCCAGGCACCAGCCATAGAGGCTGCTGCTGCTGGTCAGTGTAAACACATACCTGAAGCCAGAGCGGAAGGGCCTCCGGGACACCTGGCACCTGGCAGAAATCAGCACACCACACAGTTGCCATGAGCAGCCTGTCTTCTCACCCATTGCTCACAGTGCTACCCGAAGCAGCAGCCGGGGGCTATGCAGAGGTTTCTCTGGGGCCATACTCTGGGCAAGAGCTAACCTGTTCCCATAGGGTTCTCCTCTGAAATCTGAGTGTCTATGCTGGGATAAGGGAAGGCAGGTGGGAGGGAAGGTGCACATTATGGTTTACTTGGCAGACAAGAGTGGGAGACTTGGCTTTGGCCAAAGGCCTCAATTTGCTATGTCGGAAAACTTAAGAGTAGGAAGGAACACAACACCCTCACAGTAGCAAAACTGAATTAACAAGAATCAGGAAGACACTAACCAGTCACATGTGGACACAGGATCTACTGTCAAGAAACCTAGGTAAAGGGAGAACAGGATGGAGTGGTCCTGTGGGGCTGGCTTCATGAGAACAGGATGCTCCCCCAGACCCGAAGAATAGCTGCTCTAAATCCAAAACCTTGAAAGGAAGCACAGCCTCACCAACTCCAGAAATTTCTTCCATGGCCTAAACCTAGGACCTGCAATTTCTGTTCAGCACATGCTCACCTCCCAGCCAGGACAAAAGTGGGGATCTGCCCCTCTCACTTCCAGGGCACGGCATGGCCTCTTCTCATAGGGATTCTCATTATGAGATTCCAACTCACTGCTGCTACATCACCAACTTGCATCCAGACTCAGGGCACCCAGGTCAAGGACGGGGAGGAAACCACTAGGTGACTTAGTCAACAGTCAGAATCTCCACTGCAGGCTAACCTGGGTACAACTGGGAGTGTTTCTGAGCATCTAAGGACAAAAGGAGCCCATCAAGATGACAGAAGCTGACAGCACATCCATGCTTTTATCCCTCAGGCACACTGGGACAAACACAGATGAAAATCCTGCTGCCCACGAGGTTAAACCCTGCCAGGACACACCGTTTTCTTCTTTTCTCCAGGCCACACTTCCATGCTTTTCAGGGGCTTAGGGTCCCCAGAGAAGCCAAGACCCATGTGGCCAGAAACAGGGCATTAGCCTCTTGGACACAGGCATTGAAGGCAGACTGTTGTAGCCTATAGGGAGCTTCTCTAGCCAAGTCCAGCAGACTGGCTGCCTCTGCCAGGTGGTAGTGATGGGGAAGTGGGCTCAGCCCTAGAGAGAAGCATCTCTCCAAGCCAGGCTGTGAATCCCTGGAAGACACAAACCCCAGAAGGTGGAAAGAGGCCTGAAGCCAAGAGCTGCCAGCATGTTCAGGGGGAGATGAGGGACAGGGCTTGGCCCTGGAGACTGTAGCCCTTGTCTGGCACAGGTGGAGACCCCCCAGGCCCTCACACAGGGAAAAGGGGCTGCCCTAGGTGGGCCCTCAAACCCTCTTGTTCTGCCTGGGAAGGACTGCCCCACAGCACAGACAGTTCTGGGATGAGTGGGCACTGGGCCTCGAAGCCCCCACGTGGGCTCCTGTGGGTCCCCCGCTGAGGACATGAAGCCCACAGGAACAAAGCCGGGTTGGTGGCCAGAGCCCGACCACACTGACTGGAGGCCAGAAGGAAGACATCTGGGGACAGGGTGTCCATGGCACTGTGGGCATCCCCACAGGGACTCCTTGGTCCCTGCAAAGCACCCTCACAGGGCCAGAGGCAGTAGGCTTGGAAGCAGTGTGGGGGCCCCTAGTTTTACCTACCCTGCCCGTGTCAGCTCAAGCCTGAGACACACATGCGAAGCCAATGGTGGGCAGGGGTGGGTCCAGCAGAGCCCTACATCTGACTCTTGGGGACCTGGGGCCGGCGCCGAGGCAGAAGAGGCCAGGCTGACAGGCGCTGAGCCCCCAAACTCCATTAGAACAGGTGCTGCCTGGCAAGCAGCAGAAGCAAAAACACAACCAAACCGAAGAAACAAACATGGGAAACAGACACAAAGAAGAGACACCCACAGGTCAAAGGTCACCAGAAGCACCAGCACGTGACGCAGCACAAGACCTCACCAGGCACAGACACACCACGGCACCGGCAAGAGACGGAAGCGGGAAGGGCAGAGGAGTAAGTCACTTTCGGTACAATTGCAAAAGAGACAGCAAAGAGGACATCGGGACGCGCCTCTGGTCGCTCGCAGCTTGCTTTTTTTTTTTTTTTTTAAACTAAATTTTATAAATAACGTCTGATAACTCTGTGTATATAAAAACTAAACTCCAACAGCCACAAAGACTTGTCCATAAGTTCACAAGAAAGGGACTTTTTTTTTTCTTTTTTTAAACTAGCAAAGTTTCTATTATACTTTCTTCCCCTTTCCATTTATATCGTCAAATGTTCTGGCTTGTTTTTTTAAAAAGACAGTTTTATAAATACTCTGCTGCTCTTTTTTTCTTTACTTTTCAAACATATAATTTAATAACCTCGTAAAAGGAATTTTTTCTTTTAAATAAAAGGCTATGTAACCACACAAATAGGTCATGTAAACAGTGACACAGGACCCACCGCAGGACACTGGACACAGCCTTCACACGCGCTCACAGCCAGTGACTTGGTCTTGTTCAGTGCGATGCGTCCCGTGCGAGCGCCGTGGCCCCGGCCTGTAGCCACACGACGCCCCATCCCCCCGCGCTCAGGCTGGCGGCCGGCCTTCCAGGGCTCTCAAAGACACCTGTTCTTCACAGCGCACCTATGTCTGCCGACTGAGCTGGGAGTGAACCGCCCAGCCCCGCCTGGGAGCCCTCCCTGTTCAGGGGCACACCAGCCCAGGGCGCTTGCTCGATCTTCCTATCCACTGCCCAGATCGACCCTGGGCTCTAAGCCTGCAAGGCCTCGGTACAAAGGGGGCTGGGGTGACCCCACATCACCGCCAGACTGACCAATCCCAACATACAAAACACACGATGACAATGACGAGATCAAAGGGGCTCAGCCCAGTGCCCCTGGGGCGCAGGTTGTGCTTTGCAGGGAAGGGAGGAGGAGGAGGAGAGAAAGGAGAAGGGGACAGGGCTGCTGAATTCGCCATGTGCCTAATGGCCCCTCGCAGACCTGCCTGGGCAAGTGCACGTCCCTACGACCGGGCGTCCGTCTTGGACTTTACTATTGTGATGACGCTGGTGGCGGCCACCTTGCCAGGGACTAGGGGCCCCAAGCCAGCAGCAAGGGGGCCGCGAGCTGGCGCCACGGGGCTGCGGGCCACGGTCCTGGCGAAGTTCTGCAGGGCCTCGTACTTGGAGCGCAGGGCGTCCAGCTCCAGCTTCATGCTGGCGTTCTCTGAGGCCAGCTTCTCCACCTCCTGCTGCAGCTCCGCCTTCTGCTTCTCCAGCTCCTCCTTCTGGGTCACCCGCTTCACTCGGCAGCTGGCAGCATAGCCGCGGTTTTTGAGCGTGCGCCGCCGCTGCTTCAGCTGTATGATCTCCTCCTTGGACAGGCCTCGCAGGTGCTGGTTCAGCTCCCGCACTGACATGGTCACCAGCTCCTCATCGGTCAGGCTGGTGCCATTCTCACCTGGCTCCCGCTTCACCTGGGGGCAGCACAGTGCCTGAGGTCAGAGGCCCAGCAGCCTACTCACCCCCCTGGCCATCCCAGACCCTATCCACCCTACCCACTCACCTTCAAGGCCTTGTTTCCTTTGTTGGGGGTCGTCATAACCTGGGGGCACAGCAAGCAGGCAGTCTGCGAGACAGGGGGCAGAAGTCAGGGCCCTGGACACCACCCCATCTCTCTCCACAGTCTACGTGGCCTGTGCGCTCCCTTCACGCCCTCTGCTAGCCCAGTAGGCGCCCAGCCTCACCCCTCACCTGACCGTTTTTCCCATACCTGGCCGGAGGACCCAGCTGCTCCCAGTTCACTCTGCCCCCAGGGAACCAGGGGCCAGAAAAGGCTGATGGGGGAAGGGGAACTGAAGG